GGGGAAGGACACCTGTGGGGATGGACACCTATAAGGACGGACACTTGTGGGGACAGACACCTGCGGGGAAGGACACCTGCGGGGACGGACACCTGTGGGGAAGGACACCTGTGGGGACGGACACCTATAAGGACGGACACTTGTGGGGACAGAGCTGCGGGGAAGGACACCTGCGGGGATGGACACCTATAGGGACGGACACCTGTGGGGACCGACACCTATAGGGATGGACACCTGTGGGGACGGACACCTATAAGGACGGACACTTGTGGGGACAGACACCTGCGGGGAAGGACACCTGCGGGGACGGACACCTGGGGGGACGGACACCTATAAGGACGGACACTTGTGGGGACAGAGCTGCAGGGAACGACACCTGTGGGGATGGACACCTGCGGAGACGGACATCTATAGGGACGGACACCTGTGGGGACCGACACCTATAGGGACGGACACCTATAAGGACGGACACTTGTGGGGACAGACACCTGCGGGGAAGGACACCTGCGGGAATGGACACCTGCGGGGAAAGACACCTGTGGGGACGGACACCTATAGGGATGGACACCTGTGGGGATAGACACCTGTGGGGACGGACACCTGCAGGGAAGGACACCGGGGACAGACACCTGCGGGGAAGGACACTTGTGGGGATGGACACCTGTGGGGACGGACACCTGCAGGGAAGGACACATAAGGATGGACACCTGCGGGGACAGACACCTGCAGGGAGGACACCTATAAGGACGGACACCTGCGGGGACGGACACCTGTGGGGACGGACACCTATGGGGATGGACACCTGTGGGGACGGACACCTGCGGGGACAGACACCTGTGGGGAAGGACACCTGTGGGGACAGACACCTATGGGGACAGATACCTGCGGGGACGGACACCTGTGGGGACGGACACCTGTGGGGACAGACACCTATGGGGACAGACACCTGTGGGGACGGACACCTGCAGGGACGGACACCTGCGGGGAAGGACACCTGCGGGAATGGACACCTGTGGGGATAGATACCTGTGGGGACAGACACCTGTGGGGACAGACACCTGCGGGGAAGGACACCTGAGAGGGCATGGAACTGCCAGGAAGCAACAGCCTCTTCAGGAAATCAGATTATTCAAGTACATTACCCTGCATTTAGAAGTTTTTTGTTGTTTTTTTTTTTTTTTAAAGATTTTATTTATTTATTTGACAGAGACATAGCGAGAGAGGGAACACAAGCAGGGGGAGTGGGAGAGGGAGAAGCAGGC